ATAGAGCTTTCAGCTACTGCTCTAGCTCCATGAGTACTGTCATGATATGATACTGGACCCACCCTGTCTGATACTGTAAGCCAGCCCCAATTAAATGCTTTCTGTTATGAGTTGCCTTGGTCATGATGTCTCTTCACAGAAATAGAACACTGACTATGACAACATTTTATGCCCATTTTGTTTGTCTTTCCCTTCAAGGAATTCTAATTTGAAAAAAAAAAAGAAGAAGAAAAAAAGAAAAAGGGAAGAAAGAGAAAAAATAGAAATTAAGAAACAGACCCAACATTGGGCAGTCCCATCAGTGGCAGAGAGCTAGCTTTCTTTCTCAGAAGCTGATCGAGTTTATCATCTTGAAAAATAGCTTCAGCATCAGGCTAGGAGAGCAGTGGGTTCTGTGGTAGCGACTGAGGAGATGGCTAAGTGGGTAAAATGCTGCCATAGAAGCATGAGGACCCAAATTTGGATTCCTAGAACCCATGAAAAAGCTGGACATTGCAGAGTGCATCTGTGTCCTGAATTGGGTGAGAACAGAGAGGCAAATCCCAGGAGCCTACTGGCCAGCCAGTTTACCTACAAAGGGGAAGCCCAGGTTCAGTGAGAGACCCTTTCTCAAAAGCTAAGGTGGAAAAATAATTGACAAAGACATCTGACATTGTCCTCCGGCCTTTGTATATGCATCCATGAGCAGGAGTGCAAGTGGGCTCACATACATACAGTAAAAATTAGGGCTGGTGTGGTGGTGCACACCTTTAATCTTAGCACTCAGGAAGTAAACACAGATCCCTCTGAGTTCCAGGCCAGCTAAGGCTACATGAGACCCTGTCTGAAACAAACAACCCAGTAAGCATTAAAAACTCTTAAAATACATCAATAATGGGGTTCATAAGGCAGAATTTGTTATATGTGAAATATTGAATAAAGATATAAGTAGCCTACTTCAGAAGTCAGGAGAGTTTGAATGATAGTGGCAGATAGTTTTTCAATTCCATTATTTATATAATAATAATACTATCTAATATTATAATCACTTTCTTTCCAGAATCACATTTCTTGTAGCTTGAGTAAGAATGAACCCCCCTCCATAGGCTCATATATTTGAATGGTTATTCACCAGGGAGTATAACTGTTTGAGAGGGTTAGGAAGTGTGGACTTATTGGAAGAAGTGTGTCACTGGGGGTGGGCTTTGAGGTTTTAAAAGCCCATGCCAGGCCCAGTCTCTCTATCTGCTTGCAGATCAGGATAGAGCTTTCAGCTACTGCTCTAGCTCCATGAGTACTGTCATGATATGATACTGGACCCACCCTGTCTGATACTGTAAGCCAGCCCCAATTAAATGCTTTCTGTTATGAGTTGCCTTGGTCATGATGTCTCTTCACAGAAATAGAACACTGACTATGACAACATTTTATGCCCATTTTGTTTGTCTTTCCCTTCAAGGAATTCTAATTTGAAAAAAAAAAAAGAAAGAAAAGAAAAAGAAAAGGGGAAGAAAGAGAAAAAATAGAAATAAAGAAACAGACCCAAAAATATATTTATTTAGGTAATCCATTGAATAGTAACTGATAAATTAGGAAATGTCTGATGATCAATAACAACCTGTAACTAATCAGTTGTTGCTTTGGTGGGATAGAGAGAAGTGAGAAGGGTTGGGAAATACTACCAAGAAATTAAAGGGCACTTAACTTTATATACATATTATTTATTATGTGTGTGCGTGTGCATGCCACCATTCACATGCAGTGATCCGAGGAAAACTTTTGGGAATTGGTTTTCTCCTTCCATGATGTAGATCCTGGGGATCAAATTTAATTTGTCAGGCTTATGACCCTTTACCTGATGAGCCACCTCTTTGGTCCCTGGACTTTTTTTTTTTTTTTAAGATAGAGTCTCACTATGTGCCTCTGGCTGATCTGAACTCACAGTGTAGACCAGGCAGACTTGCTGCTTCCTCCTGAGTGCTGGAATTAAAGTCATATGTCATCATGTACTGCTCTAGACACTTTTGAGGGTGAAAATGTGTCCATTATCTTGATCATGGCAATGATTCGTAGGTTATATATATTTAAATCTTACCAAATTCTCTATTTTACAAGTATAGTATCTTTGTTAATATCTCAGCAACAAAATATCTCAGTTATATCCCCAACAAAATTAATGATATTGGATATTGATGCTAGTGGATTTAGTAACTATTCAGGACAGTTCTGTTGTATACTGATTTTATTTTGCATGCATGTGCATCTTTTGCTTTCATACTTTTACTTTTTTTTTTTCAAGACAGGGTTTCTCTGTGTAGTTTTGGAGCTATCCTGGCACTCGCTCTGGAGACCAGGCTGGCCTCAAACACACAGAGATCTGCCTACCTCTGCCTCCCGAGTGCTGGGATTAAAGGCGTGCGCCACCAACGCCCGGCTATACTTTTACTTTTTTATAATTTTAATTTTCTTCCCGGAACAAAGTCTTTTAGAAGCATGAATTATATTACTTACGTTTTATATTATTATATTACCTATGCATGCACATTCAGCCACAGAGGCCAGAGATATCAAATCCACTAGAAGAGGAGCTATAGGCAGGCATGAGCCCCCTAGCCTGAGTGCTGGGAACTGAATTCCAGTCCTCTACAAAGCAGGACAAGCTCTCAACTATGAACCATCTCTCCTACCCCTAACCTAGCATTTGGAAAGTAGAAGCAGAATGACTAGGAGTTCAA